GCCTTTAGTATGGCGGTCGAAGTCTTTTGGATGAATGTGATGGTATCGAAACGATTTCCTTTCATCGCCAATTTCAGTTTGGGAAATAGCCAGAAGTCGCACGGAGCCAAATCAGGTGAATACGGTGGATGATCGATAACAATGATGCCTTTTTTGGTCAAGAATTCACGTACCATGATGGCTTTGTGCGATGGTGCATTATTGTGCAATCTTCCGTTTGTCCAAATCTTCGGTCAAAATTCGATAGACTGTGCTTTTCGGTATCCCAGTTTCTTCTTCGATGGGTCTCGCAGACACACAGCGGTCGCTTCGAAGAATTTCTTTGACTTTCTCGATGTTTTCTTCATTGCGAGTGGTTTTTGGCGGCGGTGCTCGGTCATCGTCTGGAAGGTCCTCACGACCGTCACGGAATCGGCCAAACCAACGGAAAACCTGTGCACGGGACATGCATTCATCCCCGTACACATTTTTTAGCGTTTCGTACGTTTCTGCACCACTTTTACCCAATTTAAAACAGAATTTAATATTCGCTCTTTGTTCCATGTTGGTTTTTCGACCGACGTACACAAAGTGACTTTATATAAAATGTCAAACCACAGTGAAATATCAACCGAATTCGCTAAAATTTTGAGGTTAAGTAGATGAAAGGTAGAACATTCACCTACCATCATTCACTCATAGATGTCGCTGCGCTAAGAACTTTGATGGAACCAGTCTCATCGTATCTGAGACAGACTGTGTATGTGTTGTTTCTGTTACATAACACGCAGACGCGCGCACACACACACACACACACACACACGCGTACACACGCACACGCACACGCACACGCACACGCACACGCACACGCACCCCACACCCACACGCACACGCACACGCACCCCACACCCACACACCCACACGCACACGCACACGCACACGCACACGCACATGCACACGCGCGCACACACACACACACACACACGAGGTGTAAATCCGATCGTGAAACCTCCACGCGGTACACCTTGGGTAATGCTAATGCCGACGGTACTGTAACTTTGAAGCTTCATAACTCGGGATGTACTTAACAAGAAAATATTTTGTTGTAGTGTTTTGGAAAGCTCTTGAAATACGTTATAAGAATGTGCCAGAAAAAGTACGGCGTTCTATTTGAAAAGTTCAAAGTGATTTTGCCCTGACCTTGTTGACGCTAGCCAAGGTCAAACTGATAAGATCAGTAAATAGATCATTTTACACCTTACAACTTTTGCCTGAAACATTTTTCCAAAAACTGATTATTTTCGAGATATTTTATCGTTCGAAGACGTTTTGAGAACCCTGTATGTTTGTGTATGTGTGTGTGTGTGTGTGTGTGTGTGTGTATAGAGTGGCATAATAGCTGTAATATACAAAATTAAACAATATAATATTATATAGCTCTAACTATAGCTCTAATATATGCAACTAAACCATTCTAAAACATGTATTCAACATTTTGTAATTATACAATTCCATATAACATAATTATGTGTTAATCTTTTTTCGACAGATACCAGCAGATGGCAAAATTGTCAGTATAACATTATTGCGATATTAAGAATCCGCTTTTTATTACATCTAAAATGAAATATAACAATTACGTCAATGTTATATTTTGTCATAAAAATGTAATAAAAAGCGAATATTGTCATAATATACTGAAGTATTTTTGTCATTTGATATCCACAAGATATCTGTAAAAATTAGCAAACAGCTTATTACGTAGGATATCATAATTGCAAGTTATTAGTTAGACTCACATACTATAGTATAGATATTATGTTAAACAGCAATCGCAGTAGTATTGTAACTATTAATAAGTCAAAATTATAACACATATATATATATTAATTTATAAAAGTATGTTACAACAATTAATATTAAATAAAAATTTGCTTCTTTGGTTAATATACTAAATGATGCATATACATAATGGTGTTCGTAACAAAATATAAACATATGTATATAAAACATAAATAAAGTGTTTTATCTACTTTGGTAGTAAACAATAAACGAAAAACATCAAATAACTATCAAAAATTATGAACACATATATGTAAAAGGAACACATATAAATGAAAAATATTATATTAATACTATTAACAAAACTATTAATAAAAATACTATATTAAATGATAATATCATCGTTAATCATGAGCCACCGTTTCTCCAATTTTTTACCTTAAAATTCGTATAGCTCGTGCAAGCCATTTCGATACATATTCCGCATAGTCGTTGTCTGTCATTGCGCTGTGGGATATACGAACAGCTTCTGAAATATATATCATTACCATATTATTATTATTTTTATAAAATTTTAAATAATAATTAAATAGCAACTTGAATCTAAATAATACCGTTATTTGCAATATTGATCAAAATCATATTGCTTTACGGAGTAGAATAACACTTTTTTCTTTAAAATTCATTCATTTTGTGTAAATGCGAATCGAAATAGCTTGTAATCTAATCAATTTTCAAAGTGAAATCCGGGAAACCAAATAAATACCCAAGAGATATATAGTCTTATCTGTATGCATTGCTTACAACACCTGTTGCAGAGTGTAGTCTACGTATATACTTATATAGGTCGACAAAATACAATTTCTGAGTACGGTGATTCCAATGAGGTTTTTCAGAAAGGTTATAAGGCTCCATCAGTTTCTCAACACACACATTTGTGTCATCTGCAACTTGACTAAATAAAATATAAAGGGACGAATTGTAATATTTTATGGAGTGAATTGCGTTGCAAAACGATATTTACATTGCCATTATACGAGGGTTGTTCCAAAAGTAATGCACAGCACGCTCTAGCGGGCGTTGTAGGCAACGTAGACAGCTGATCGTAGCGTCAGTGTGTAGATTGAAGTCTCAAAAGCACGTTGGTATCATATGGTAGTGGGATTCGTTTAAAAGGAAAATGCCAAAAATTCGGGAAGACAACGAGAATAGTCCGTCGGGTCGGATTTCAGCAACAGAGTAACGTGCGTATATTCGCATCGAAACAGTGCGCGGTAAAAAAGTGCCCGAAATTCATGCCGCGTTAAAAGAAGCGTGTGGAAGGTTTACTGTGAATCGTAGCCCAGTACAGAGGTGGCACACGAAGTTTCGTGAAGGTCGAACAAGCATCGAAGACGATCCACGCGCGGGGCGGCCGTCTACTGTAACAGCTGACAACACAAACGCTTCAATCATTGCAACGTTGTTCGACGAAAATCGGAGAATCACAGTAAGAGAAATTGAGGCGGAGACAGGAATCTCGAAAACGAGCGCGCATCGCATTTTAACATAGGTGCTAAGCAAACGAAAGGTGGCGGCGCGGTGGGTACCGCACTTCTTGTCAGCCGAACAAAAAGCAACACGTTCGGAAATTGCGCACGAATTGCTTGCTTGTTATGAAAATGAAGGTGAAACCTTCCTCGATCGCATCATCGCAATTGATGAAACCTGGATACGTGACTTCGAGCCCGAACTGAAGTCTCAGAGTGACGTTTGGAAGAGTCCAGGTTCGCCGAGAGCACAAAAAGTTCGTCGCCAACAGTCGAAAATGAAAGAAGTGATGATCTTTGCCTACGATAAACAGGGCGTAATCGCCACAGATCGAGTTCCGAGGGGTATTAGTGTCATTGGAGCGTACTACAAAAATTTTCTTCAGAATGTCTTGCGCCCAAAAATCCGTAAACTGCGTCCAGGAATGTTGCAAAGTGGTGTGTTGATTTTACACGATAATGCGCGCCCGCACATCGGTGCACCGGTCATCGAACTTCTCGAAAAATACGGCTGGGAACGGCTCCGCCACCCAGTTTATAGTCCTGATCTGAGCCCACCTGACTTCGATCTCTTTCCCAAGATGAAGGAATTCCTTCGGGGGCTATGTTTTCCGACGCTGGAAGTGCTCCGAAGAGAAGTGACCCGACAGATTCGGATGCTCAATAAGAATGGGACGCTGAACGGAATTCAAGCACTTCCGCGCCGCTGGCGAGCGTGCATTGATAAAGAAGATTATATTGAAGGTCTGTAATCATTTGTATCTTCTTCAATAAATATTTTTTGAGTTAGAGCCAACTGTGCATTACTTTTGGTACAACCCTCGTATAAGCATTCTTTCTCGTTTGAGATGAAAATATGACTGCGATCTAGATCAGTTTGATCGAAAGACATTAAAATAACGTCTTTGTTACAATAACCAAATGTATTTACATACCTCTTTTCTCCAGCTACGTAACAGATACTGTAAGGAAATTCCAACTTCTAGCTAGAGAGCCTCAAAGGGAGAGAGTGGCAAACTGATCACGTGACCAGGTCTCTGCTGATTCGATGGAGGCACAAGGTCTTCTTCACCAATTAGAATATTGATATAGCATGACGACAAGTTGGTTTTACAATGAGTCATAGAGTTAAGACCGACTTTAACCCTAACTAGTCTAACATTTGGTGATTTAAGCCGTAAGCTTTAAAAATTGAACAATCGCAATCAAGTTTTTTTGTAACATCTATCAACGAATAGAGGTTAAAAGAGGAGATTAAAGCGTTTAGCGTCGTATAGGACATTCGTTCACGGATATTCAATTGTTACTGCAAATTAATATCTTTGCAATATAGCTGCAATATTGCAGAAATATCATGATAATATTGCACAATATTGTTTTTGCAATTTTGCTGTAATATTGCACTGCAATATGCAATTTTGCAATGTTGCAGCAATGTTGCTGCAGCTTCTGTGCTGTATGGATATATTCGATGATTCATCTATATTATTATGATTAACAGAGTTATTATTATTATTTAAATTCGAACCTACAATTGAAATAATTATTGCAAGATTAATTTATATATATATATATATATATTCGTATTTCATGTAAACAAATATGTTACAAAGTAAATAAAATAATATTACATGAGGCACTAACTTCAGTTGCTTTCTCTGATAATGTTTCACTTTTATCTGTTACACAAATATCAAAAAATTCTATAACCTTCGGCGAAAGCGGCAGTTCAAACAGTAATCCACCTTATGAATATATAAATATAAATAAAATAAGATATAAAACTTAGAAGTGATTTAATCTATTTCAGTTCTAACCTATATCACTGAAATATTTACTAATTTTATCTGTAACTAAGATTCCACCATTCTCTCCTCTTTCAATTTCTTGCTGAGAATCGAACACTAAAAATGTCGTCCTTTTACAAGTATAACATCATTGTTAGCCATGATGCTTCACTGCTTAAAATTTTATTTTAATCAAGGGAAGCTAATGTACAATCAAGAATAAACGATTGAATACTTTCATTTTGTATTTTTCCGCGCTTTAGCAGTGGTAACCCAAATAACCTCTACATTTTATGAGGTAAGAAAGTTACCTTCGTGGTCGACCAACTGCGACTTTTGGAACGGCTATCATTGGATAACCACTCAGTGCATAGATACTTTCGGAACGAATTATAGTAACCAAGGTTGGATTTTGAAACGTACCCCAGCTTGTACCACTAGGTACAAGTAACAATGCCTCTTTCTGTAGTCGCCGTGCGCTCGGAATAGCATTACAGATGTCGCTTCCGAACGACATCTCTTAACGGTATCTAGGGAAAGGAGAGTATCGTGAGCGTGGAGCGTCAGGTAGCTCAGTGGTTTAGAGCAGTCGCCAGGCAAACGAAAGACCCGCGTTCGATTCTCGGTCTAGCGACTAACCGCGCTCTCGGTATTTTTCTCTCTTCGGAACGAAAATAAGATGCAGGTCCCGAACTCACGGCGTCTCCCGTCGCCACCTAGTACGCCCTCCTTCTTTCATGGACAAATATGATCCAAAATGCTGCAATCTGAAAATATTACGTATATTACGCATATCTTGATTTTTCCTCTCTTTCTTACTCGTTTTCTCGTTCGGCTTTTTTATGAGCTAATCACCGGTCATCACTTTTTCTGGTAGCATTCAAATATCACTACATATGTCAAACACACTCGTATACAACTTTCGAATTATGGCGCCTTTGACAATGAGTGAACCCGTTCGTGGTGCCTCTGACGATGGATTCGCAGCGCCTCTAACAGAAGAAATGTGAGATGGACATTTTCGATGGGACATTTTTACCAATGCTAGCGAACGTGAAATCTTCGTAAATTGAACTTTGGACTAGAGTATCTCGGCTCATAGGATACGTAGAACAAAAATAAAGACAGTTTTGTTAACTAATTTAGACCAAGGAATCGATTGAGACCATTCAGAACTGCACCGGTTTAGCGGTTATAGCGAAACTCTAAATCGTGCCCCCCTCCAACTAGTTGGTTCGCATGAATATACTACGGCAGTCAAGAGGCAATTCAGGAGCGTAACAGCAATTGGCGCAAACCACTGCCGCGGTTTTTGATTCATCAGAAATTTATTTTGTTTAATTTGCTCCTGAAGTACTTCGATGTTCTAAAGTGCTGTATAAAACGATAAATATGAAATGAATCCACATAAGTAAGAACTCAATAAACAACCCAATAGGACATATACACTAGCTCAATTTGTCAGAAAACATAAAACTCATTGTAATTTAAAAAGAAAGAACTAATTTTCAAATTAGATATATGATTATATTATAAACATAATAAATAATGATATAAATAAATAAGTAACAGTATAAATACAATATAATATGATATGATATAATATTAGGAGTACAAATAAGTTTCCGCCGTTTGACAAAAGATGGCCCCATCAGAAGGTTATGTTGAAATTGTCAGATATAAAACGTAACATCGTAAATTTGGACATCTGGTAACAACATAACCTTGAAGTATTAGTGACTCCGTATCAGCATCACATAATTTTTTCGTGCGAAAATGTCAAGTTTTGTGCCGAATAAGCGTCATTTGCGGGAACTTTCGATTTGCTTCTTTAATTTGAAGAAATCTGCAGCTGAGGCGCATCGATTGCTTGTAGAAGCATATAGTGAGACTGCTTTAAGTGAGAGAAGTTGTCGTGAGTGGATTCAAAAGTTTAAAAACGGTGAGTTTGACGTGGAAGACAAAGAACGTAATGGAAGGCCGAAAGTGTACGAAGACACAAAATTGGAAGCATTATTGGAGGAAGATTCGTGTCAAACGCAAGAAGAACTTGCACTTACATTAGAAGTGACTCAACAAGCAATTTCACATCGTTTAAAATCGTTGGGAATGATTCAAAAACAAGGAAATTGGGTTCCATATGAACTGAAGCCGGGAGACGTTGAACGCCGATTTTGCACGTGTGAAATGCTGCTTGCCAGGCATAAAAGAAAGGGTTCTTTGTATCGTATAGTCACTGGTGATGAAAAATGGATCCACTACGATAACCCAAAGAAGAAAAAATCATGGGGACCACCTGCCCATGCTTCAACATCGACAGCCAAACCGAATATTCATGGAGAAAATCTCATGCTGTGTATTTGGTGGGATCAGCTTGGTGCCGTGTATTATGAGTTGCTCAAACCGACCGAAACCATTACTGGAGCTCTCTACCGAGCACAATTAATGAGATTGAGCCAAGCACTCAAGGAAAAACGTGCCCATTACTACTCCAGACACGACAAAATTATTCTCCTACATGACAACGCTCGGCCACATGTTGCAAAACCGGTCAAAACCTATTTGGAAACACTTAATTGAGAAGTCCTACCCCACCCGCCATATTCACCAGACATTGCCCCTTCCGATTATCACTTGTTCCGGTCGATGGCACATGGCCTGTCTAAGCAGCGCTTTACGTCATATGAAGATATTAAAAATTGGGTCGTTTCGTGGATAGCCTCAAAAGATGAAGAGTTCTTCCGACGTGGTATCCGAATGCTGCCAGAAAGATGGGAAAAAGTAGTGACTAGTGATGGACAATACTTTGAATAAAACGTAATGTACCGTTCTTTCACAATAAATTCCTAATTTTTTATAGAAAACGGCAGAAACTTATTTGTACTCCTATATTGTTCCCGTCGGGTTCAGCCGACGGCGATCGCGTGGTATCGCACAGCGTTGTGCGCGAAGAGCGCCAGTACGCGATCTGAATCGCTATAGGAATAGGAGTGCAGAAAAGCCGAGCGAGTATGACGATACACAAAATAAGTTTATTCTTTTATATACCGAAACAACTACACACGGCGGCGAACAATCGAGCGATCGAGCGAAAATCTTGAGGCGCCTTGTTCTGTTTGTAAGACGCGGACGCAGATCTTGGAAAGCGTCTGACTTAACGTCCGATCGACGGAAATCGCTGTAGACCGGCGGACTTAAGGTGTCTCGCAACAAGCGGCGCTCGCGGACGCGACGTTCGCCGACGGCGCACGTAAAATGGATATGATTATAAATCGTACAATACAAGACATAAAAAGTAATGCACGTTAAACGCGTTGAGTGCTCGATGTATCGGTGGGTACGATCGAGCGTCGGAGAGTGACGTGCAGCCCAGGCGCGAAGATCAGAGATCACTTCACGAAATCGTAACCGAGTGCAACGAATGCAGCCACGATGAAGTAATAACACCGATAGTGTGTACCGAAAATTCAGTGAAGATCGCGCGCGTTGGTCGCAATCGGCAGTAAAAGACCGCTCGGTAGAAAACCCAAATGTGCAGAGAGAGTGATGAAATCTCGGTCTCAATTATATCCTTTTTTCAGCTCGAGCTGGCAGATAAGGATTGGCTGTAATTCGTTGGCCGTAACACGCCGTGATCGCATGCTCGGGGTTTGCCCGACATATACGGCAAATACGCGGCAATAAACATTGTTTCGAGCGTTCCTCGTCGGGGATCCCGTGGCCCAACGTTCGGCGACGAGATCTCCGCTAGCCGAGCACGCATGGATCACGCACAAGCTTCGTGAGGTCGAAGCTAGAAGAATATTTAGATTCTTCCAGAAAACCGTTGTGCACGTTATGACCCCGAACATATATAATATTGTGTATTATAATATAATATAATATAAGGGATGTAAGAAACAATGTAAAATACAATATAAAGAAATAGTAGCAATGTAAATCTTTTTTATTATTTTGAAATGTTAAATTTATCCCTAAAGTGAATTCCATGTATTTTTATGCTCTGTATATCTTCTTAATTGGAAAAATAAGATATTTGAATAGTAAACAGTAGAAAATATTAGAAATAGCTTAAAAATTCAGCAATTTTAAGCTGAGTGTTTATCGTAGTGAGATAAGCGCTGACAAGTAATATCTATTCTTTAATTATGATATGACTAGAAAGCTATAGTCAATTATAAAAAAGAACGATAGATTAATTTTTTATATAACTACTTTCAAATTTCATTCCTCATCCGTGGTTTCCATTTCGCAAAAATAAAATTATTTTCGAATTGCAATCTCGCAGAATATTGAATTCATTTGCGAATACGTAAATCTTTCTCGCGCATTCCTCTCACAATTTTCTTAATTAGATTCTATTGCATGGGTACTTTGTGCAGTCAAAAATTCAATAACAGCGCGCTGCTTCAGCCAAATATCTCTATTGTTTCCTGTTTTGAAGTGCAATATGCAAGCTTTTGTACAATAACGGATTTGAGAAATTATTTTATTTATATTGTAGTTACATATTGTTGCGCCCTTGCGCAAGAAAAATAACACGGAATTAATAAAACGAAAGAAGCTTTATTTTAATACGTCCGTTCGTCGTAACAAGACCAGGGCGACTCTCTCTCATCTCTCCTTTCTTTTTTTATTAACAACCTCCTTGACAACAACAGCTGTCAAACAATCTCTACTCGATTCCTTTGCAGTCCACTCCCAGGAGCGTGGGGATAACATGTCCCCCAAAGGCACGGGCGCAGCACTGCGAGAATTCAGAATTATTAAAATAGAGAATTATTCTTGTTTGAAGTTTGAGAAAGTTGCGCTGTATATAGTAAAGCTTGATATTCTTACGCGAGTGTTCTTATTTACCTGTGTGAAAGCACGAGTGTGAGAGCGAGTGCAACATTTTGGGGGCTCGTCCGGGATAGAATCAGCGATCAGTCGGGATCAAATCAGTGATTGTGCGGGATTGAATCTGAGGAAACAAGATGACGAGTGAAGCGAGGAGCTATGCAGTCCCCAACCGTCGGAAGCGCGCTTGTTTAAATGAACCGGAGACGGCGGGAGCGGATGCAACAAGCTCCGGAGTATCGGAGGCGTCGGTCTTGCAGGAAGCATTTCTGGAGATTCGGACGTTGACAGAGGAACGTCTGCATTTGATGGAAGAGCGACAGGAGTGAGTCAGCGGCCGAGTTGAGCCGGAGGAACCTATTACAGGCCTTTCCGATAAAATTTAAAATGTTTTAATTATAAGAGATGTTCTTTGCAGATACTTTGCTTGTATTTATTTTGTTTGTTGATAGTTTCTCCAACTTTTGTTGATTCTTTGGACTCTGGAGATTAGAGGATGATCTTTTGAAAAGGACCGAACATCTTTGTT